TATTTATCATAAGTTGTCGGTGGCAAAAAAGGGCCCCATTTTTCCGTCGGAAGGGCATTATTTCTACCAGCCGTTCATCATAACCCATTAGTTTAAATGCGCATTGGTCGGTAATTGCCCGAGAAAAATGGCATTGTTTTTGCTTAGAATGGGACCTGCAACAGGTGGTGCTGCTTCCCAGTAAAAGACTGTTGCAGCTGAATCTTCAGCATGCTTCCACTGAATTTAATTAGCAGTTTAGGACAACAAATAGAGGTCTCTCTATTTGGAAATCCGAAACACATGTCCAAAATGGAATCTCTCCAAATAAATCCGGAACGATAAAACAATTACACATCAGTTAAGCAACATTTATTTGATCAGTTGATTTTTCAACAGGCCCGTTTTATGATTATGTTAAGTTAGCTGTTCGAATGTATGACTGTTTGCTGTAACATCGGGCTGTATATTTTTCAAAGTCTGGTTTAATTTCTGGGCCGCTTTGTTTAGATTTTTCGGTGATATAACCGTTTCGATCATAGCAAGTTCATGCAATCGTTCACTTTTGAATAACAGAAGGCGGAAAGTCAATATTCTAAACAGAAGCTTGAAGAAGGAGAGGAATGTTTGATGCTGATTTGTAAAGAACGCCACTGAAATTTGTGAGAGGAACCTTTTGGCCATGTCTTAGTTACGTTCGACCAGATTCATAACCGTTTAGCCATCGGTATACCGTGAAAAAAAGCCGAGCCGGTAGTCTAATTGATGATGAATGGCTGTCGCGCAAGAACAAAGAACCATAATTTGCTGTCAATTTCTGGATATATTGACGTCAATAATTATGCGGCGGCCACTTTGATACCGCCACATTTCGCCTCTTCTTATGCGCGGAATTCCGGAATGCTTTTTATTAAATAATAATTCCTCAATGTTGTCATCCGACCGACTGGTGGTCTGAAATTGTGCCGAACAGGACCGCCAATGTTTTTCTCCAATGGGATCAACCAAAAACCGTATTAATTTTTCAGCCAAAGAAATCTGTTTCCATTAAGTGGATTTTATACAGTCGATTAGGGTTTTTCACTTTGGCATTGTTGCATGCTGCCAATTAACACGTTCTTTGCATGGATTCGCATTTTTGCAACTAATATGCAATTTATTTCGAATCTTCTGCAACTGGCCGGTATTATAAAGGACATTTCCAGACCTGATCTATGAAAGTCCTTGTTCTGCATGAAAAATAATGACAACTTGCTGATGATTCGCATGCATGTATAATTTTATATGGCCACTTATGCCGACTATTCTTCACTATGATCAGATGACTGAGGAGTCAAAAGCCATAGTTAAGGTTCGGTTACATTAATTTGGAAATACATTGTTTTTCATGAGCAAACTTTCAAATTAATCATCGAAATTGCATGCAAATGCTTCGTTTTGCCAGATGCGAAGTGTTAGAGTTTTTATTTGAAACTGACGATGTTTCTATAGCTCTGAAACCGGTCGAAGTAAAACACCGGAACGCGTATTTTTCATTTTTTAATGTATGATCAAGAACTATCTAATACAATAACAGTAGGTCAACCAGAACAAAAACAGAAAATCACAGTAACGAAAAAGGCGCAAAGCTACAACAAATGTTCAAAACGACCACCCTCAGACGTGACACAAGATTCACCTCTTCGCCTCATTGATGTCGAAATCGCGCAAATATGCCTGGTGTATTTCTCAGAGCCGGTTATAATTCGATTCCTCACTCAGGTCATGAACATTTTCACCAGAAGTGGAATAAACTAATGACTCAAAAAAAACCGAAACGCAACACTCCAGAGGATTTAAATCCGGCGAACGGGCAGGCCAATGTTCCAACACAATCAAGCTATAGCTGAGACCTAACCATGCAAATATTGGCTAATTGCATGGCTGCATAAGGTGTTTTATATCTTTGCATCAAAACGCAAAACAAATCCTTTGGAGACAAACGAATCATAACTTCATGCAGAATCGCCCCATGAAATTTAACGTCCAGAAGAACTGGCTGGTCTGATGAATTGGCCAGGGCAACTTCATGGTGATAAAATGTGAAGTATATTGTAGTTTAGTGGCTCAATCTAGATGTTCCCAATGGACACATCGAAATTAAAATCCTTTGAATGTTAATGGAGCGGAAAGGAAATCTAATGGGCACAACAAACCATAATGTGAATGGTAACCATTAGCTGGTTGAAGGGTTCTTCGGGCCATGCCGGCCTTTTTGTCTCACCGTCAACGCTATTAATCTGAACGCAGATACAATCTCCGATTAAATAATATTCATATTAAGGAAGACGAAGCATAATGTTTAGAATATTTAAAGGAAACAAACCCGCCCAGGTGTACGTGGATCCTTATCCACGTAGTAGATCGCATTATGGTCGCAGCGTATTACGTTACATCTGGTTTTTTGATAAATCCGTACTTCAATCGTGCGCAAGGCTTCGACTTTATCGCTCATATTTCTGCAATTGAATATGAAAATCACTTGTGCTTTGAGATGGTTCTCGTTAGATACCATTCAGGACTTTCTACAGTTTATTAGCGTCAGCCGATATCACGTTTTAAGGCAAATCATCATTGTGCCATAATAATTTTCCGCTGTTATCGATGGTTCGAATACGTACCTACACGAAACCCATTCGCTACTTTGCTTAAAATAACATATCCGCAATTGCGATCTTCCATTGAACGCTCAACCGTTTCCTTCAACAACACACTTTTTATAGTTCAAAGTCGAATTCCATGACAATATCTATAGATAACTAAAGGGAATATTTATTTAATCTGGTCGGTGGCAAAAAACCGGTTTTTATTTTATTTTAATTGTAGACAAAAACACCCGTAAACTATGGAATTCAGTCGCGTTTTGGCAGTGTTAAGGTAAATTGTGCGTGTTCAAGCGGTTTATTTCGAGAACAAATCAGGACTTGCTTTTACCATGCTGCAAGTGTAATTATGTAAGTATTTGATAAATATCCTTTATACAATTGAAAAGTTTATTTCGTAGTTTATCAGGCCCTCGCTCTGGAACTTCAAAATGTTCATGATGATCTCTTTACTACCGATTTTTCCTAGTTTCCCTAGTAGTGATTCTGGTAGAAATGCACGTTTCGATCACTTTCGCTGATTGAATTCGTAGTGACCAAAATATGAGTAGGTACTAAACGCGAGAGTCGGATAAACTACAAAATAAGTTTCTTAGGGTAGTTATTTGACTAAACTTAAGGATGGCTGAACTTTGCTTGATTTCGATAGAACCAAACGTTGCAAGATCTCATTATTGCGTTCTAAGATCCATTACTTTTTCACTATCTTGGGAGTAGTTTTTTTCCGTATTGTTCAGTAAGTTTTTGCTGTTATATATCCGAAAAAAACTTAGCGTTTTTTTGCAAACATGTGTTGCATTGGCACAAAAACGAGTTGATTAATGGGTCATCAAATGCGACATGCACGTTCCACCTGCTAAGGTGATTTTTGGGGAAAATTTCGAGTAAAAAATGCTCAATTTACGTTGGAAGAAGTCGGCACTGTTGCATGTTACTAGTTTAGTGGCATTCGCCCGAACTGACCCAGTTTTTTAACATTGTTGATAACTTAGCACACCTTAAGACCTATAATGAAAATATTTGCTTGTTTCCCTCGATGGGAATGTTAATAGATCCACTTATATTTAGTAGTATTTCCGATTTCTACTTATCTATAGCTACTACGCTGCTTATCGGCCTTATGTACTTATTGCCTACTGCTCATCAAGCAATAATTAATAATTCATCAAAAACCAATTACTATTGGCTACAATTATAACCCTGGAGTGTCTGCAAATTTACTTAAACTGTTTGAGCTTTCACTCTTCTCCTACATACTTAATTGTACTTTATTGGATCTCCTTAATTGTCCTTGATCTGTTTGTCTGATTGCGCATCAACTTATCATATACTTGTCAAAGTGCATAGAATTTTTAATGCTATTTACAGCTTAAACAAACATTTTTGTTGGCAAATTGCATTTTTTCCATTCTGAGTTTTAATTCGGACCCAAAAAAGCCGGAAATTGCCCGGCAGCTTACACAAAAGAAATTAAGTAAACGTTGTGTGTTTCTCAATGCCTTTGAGGAAAAAACATTAAAATGTACTCCGAGGGCAGCTCAAGCGGCGTGCAGTACAGTTGAAAAGTGTGTCAAGCGTTAATTATAGAAATGTTTTAAAGTATACTTATTTTAGTGAAACGCTGCGCGCTTTTTATAACGTGATATTTAATGAATTTCGCATGAAACCGACCACAGGAAGGAAATGTAAATAGTCACTGCTAGATCACAAGTTCTTACATAAATATTGCCGAATTAATACAGTAAATATCGGGTGATTCACGTTGGAAAACCCTGTTTGGTTAGGGGGTTCTGAAGGAACAAGGAAATTTATTGTTTTGCCATCAAGCACTCGAAATCGCTTAGCATTTCTGCATACAAATTATTATAATTGACTAAACGTGGCCTAGTTTTGAATAGTCATAGCGTAAGGTTGGACGCTGATGAAAGTTTACATCAACCTATGGGTTGCAGTTGATGAATATGGAGTGGGACGGTTTAAAGTCCATGTGACAATGTTGAAGAAACTGTTGGTTTAAGACCGCGAAAATTCATGTGGTTCGGGACCGATGTGAATCTTCAAAAAATATTTGAATCAGTTTTTCACTCGGAATAGGAAAAACGTGTCAATGAAAATCCGCTTCAGAACATTCAGTTCAGTCTCCGAAATTTCCAAGAAAAGTGTTTGCACTTTGTGCTAGTCGCGGTCAATGACTGGAACTTGCCCAAAAAAACTCCAAAATCCCTAATTGATCTTGAATAGAGTTGAAGAGCGCCTTTAATTTACACTGGTTTAGCTGACTGTTCCACAAGTGCGACCAGGAGGGGTAAAGAGAATCCAAAATCCAGCACATCAGTTGACTTACCGTTTGCGGAAGCGGTGGGAAAGTTGGGAGAAGCGACGGCAGCAGCCGTGTCAGCTACAGCTTCACCAGTGGCCGCGTTAATTTCTTCATCTTCGTACACTCGAATGGGTCGCGCTTGTTTTCTTCTCGACATGTTTTCCACTACACAAAGCACTGCGATGGTCTTTGGGGAGCACTCATCATCAGGTTATGATTTTCGGTGATGGGGCAATACGGGGAAGCATATACGACCTCGACGTCGCGGCGTCGCGATGCTGTCTAACCTGACGCCGCCGTCACGAATGGGGGGGACCTGATAAGGGCGGCGCGAGCGATTTTCCCTCGTAGCAGGTCGGTTGGGGTCGGATTGGCGAGTTGGCGTATTACAATTCTTCAGGCTGTAGCCATTCACTTGAATAAAAACATTGAGAAAAGTCCATGTTTCAGCTATGTTTTTATAAACAATAACAGTTCAAAGCCGGTCACTCTACTCGAATCGTCACCCTACACCAGTCTCTTCGGCGGATGGTTGTTAACTAAGTGAGTGTACCCCAGGCCGTCCCAACAAGCACCGCCTCTTCTCGCGTAGGAAGGGGAACCAACTCCATTCATAAATCAGTTATGCTTTTATAATATTTTATGCTCTTCTTCCTTGATCTGGCACCCTGTCGACACTTTGCTGCTCATGGATGCGATGATTTCTTCCAATGACAATCTTCAGTGATCGAGAACCGGTTGATCCGTGCTTGTATTAGGTATATTGCTTCACTTTGAATAGTTATATTTGATTTAAACAGCTTCAATCCTAGAAATTCGCAGGTAGGTCAAAATCGCCTACCGTCGTTTCACAGATAGGCAAGAAGTTGACGAATTGTTCTAAAAATATATAGCAGGTAGACAATTATAGATTGGTCCAAATAGAACTCGAATCGAGGCAGCTAATTCTTTATTTTAGCATGTATCTTACAGTGGATCAGGTGCAAATGGAGGGTAAGGTGTAGGTCACACGGTTTGTAAAAGTTGGTCAAAGACCCTGTTCTATCTAGCTATAGGGATATTTTGATTTTCTGGTTAGCTTGGGTTAATAAGGATTTTTAAATGATCTGCCAGGCTCAAAACGATGCTTACCATATTTTCTTGAATTGAAAATTGTTTTTTGAAAAAAAAAGGCTTAAAACACAGGATTCTTAGTAGCAAAAAACATGTTTTAGTTGCTGGCTTTTGCCGATGGATGCTTTGGCTTCGATCTTCTAGCGCTTTCGCGATCTTCAATTTTAATGTGTTCCAACTTAAGTTCGGATCAGTTTTTCTCCGGAAGTGCAGAATTCGGTTTGTTTTTAGCTTTCTTCTTCTTAGCTTCTAGTTTTCTAGCTTAAAATAAAACACCCGAACTGGGAATGAAATGTTTCTTGCCCATCAAGTGAAACTATACAATTGATACATGCAATTTTGTTTTCGATATAACTTTCTTATAAAACATAGATTTTTTGCGTCCAAATTTGGGATAAAGTTATTTGAATAATGGAACTACAATTTGACGATCTTAGTTTTTTGTGAGCGACAATCGATTTGAGTAAAATTATGAGCAAAAGTTTTCGGCTTGAACAAAGTTGGAATTGAACTTCATTGTGAAATGAGTGTAGTTCTGTGAGTTTATAGTGACCCAATAACTGTAGTTCGTCTTCTATTACTTGTTCATCGAGCGAGACGGAAATTTAATATTATTAACTTTTAATGATTTTTTAGCGAGTGTTGGCAGTTTCCGTGATTTTTGCCCAGTTTTCGATTAATTTTACCCATACATTTTCTATTTGTACAAAAATGCCGTAGCAAACTTGTTAGGGCGAACAACGGTTCATTTTGGTCAAATTTCCACCACCATCGCTTAGGTCTTGTATGAGTTTCAATTTGTTTTGGTCCATTTTCCGCATAGTCTGACTGCAGGTTTGCCACCACGACACTTTAACAATCACAGTTAAGGCTCAGAACTACTAACAGCAAAACTGAATAAAGTTATTTTCCAGATTAACTGTTTAACTTCTGCAAATTTAAGCTTTCTTTTGCAACTGCCAATAAATTAAGACCCACCTTGTCGACTGCTTTAATAAAAAGTAAATGGGTTTTTATGCGCGAAAAATAATTTTTAACACTTAGCTCAAGCAATGCTAATGACGACTTGAGATGAAAAATAGACACTTTTTAAAATTTACCGGGAAGAAACGCTCAAGCTGGCATCCACGCAAAATTAAATCTTCGATGACGTCTCAAATAATGACGTCACGGCCAAATAGTTCGGGRSCGATWMTACATTCGTGWTAATACGTTTTCCCGAAGAACCGCTGAGTGAAATACCATGAGCTCCAGTGAGAGAAATTACCTCAAAAGATAAAAACCGCCCTAATCTTGGAAAATCCAAAAATTGAAAAAGTTAAATCATCAAATCATCAAACGCAAGCTGTATATCTTCAAAAAATCCCTGTAAAATTCTCTTGAGATCGTTTCTTTCAATCAATAAACGTAACATCCTCGCTTAAAACATCGAATAAGAAATAGCGGATTTTTGGTTACTATTGCCGCAAATATTAGGAAAAATAAAGAAATTATCAAAATAGTTCCACGTAAGCTGTAGACCAAATGGCGAGTGAACAATTCATCCCATTCAATAAACCCGCGCACTTTAAATTTTTGCGGCTGTCAATTGAATTTAAACGCAAATAAATCGATTGAAAAATTATTTATTTGCCTGATCCGGTGGCGTTCGTAAATAGGAATAATAGTTGAACTTTTTAAAGCAAGTACCCAACTCTAGTTGGGTTAATCTCAGAACGACCGGGCACATTTTGAAATCTGTACTTAAATCACATGATTTTGGGGAAACTTCTCCCAAATTTGGGATTTTTCTTCTTCTCGGATGCACCTTTAAGGTTGACAGGGTACCACTGCAGAACGTCTGGCTACTGATTTTTACCGACATCGATGTTGATTCAAATAAAAACCAGTACGATCGCCCAAAACGGTCTTAGAAAAAGCGAGCGACCGATCGCAAGTGATATTTTATATCGTTTATATCGCGCTCAGAGATTTATCTGTCGAAAATATTTCAGTGCCGTAGAGGCGGCAAAGTTTGCACAAGGGCGGCACTTGAGCGTTTTTGCCCCAGCAATCTGCTCATATCTGAAGGTTATGATGATTTGAAGCGCGAACACCTGTGTTCCGAAGATCTGTCGGTGCTGATATTCCCGCCGAGCCATGACATAATTCTTCTGCCGATGGCTCGAAAAACACATTCCGAACAACGAGTTCGCGTTTAATCTGCTGGCCTTCTTATAAATTATGGATGTTTATGAAATTTTTGCATCTAGGGATGTTCTGGATGTATGGGAACCAAGCCAATAAATGCTGGAACTCTTCACAGCTTTCGTGCTAATCGAAAGAAGGTTTTGTGTCTTAACAAAGTTCTGGTGGCTCAATTGCTTACTGCGCGTTCCTCATAATGCCAGCTGTGATATGAGCTAGAAAATATACAAAACGAATGGTGCAAAAGTTGCGCTTTTGCCCACTTTAACAAGTCGTTTTCTCAAAGCATTGCTGTCGAAAAACTTTGGAAACAATCCTTTTTATTACACCTAAGTTCGGAAAAATTAGGCTTAAAACCTCAATTGGCGTGCATTGAAACGAAAGGCCCATGATACTGAATCAAAGAACTGGCTGAATGCCGACCGATCGATCAATCGGATGCCTGGCTTAATTTACAAATCAGATACAGCTTTTATCTGCCACCCCCGTATTTACTTAGATAAATTGAAAACTGTCGTCATATTAATAAAATCTGAATGACAAAGCCAAAGGGAAGTGCGAACCGTATTAAAACCGTCCCCCAATATTAATAAACGGCTAAGTGCATATTGAACCACTGCCTCGGACAAAAAACCATCTATTTATACCAATGTAAACATGAAAGTGTGACTATTCCAACCCCCGGGGAGGATTCAATGGACGTGGGGGGGAATTTTCGTCTTTAAATGAACCGGCACGTAAAGTTCAAGGCGATGCTCAAAAAGAAACTCACATTGCCCGGAAAAGTTTAATGATGAAAAACCAGAGTGACCGTCTGAGAATCAGTGCGAAAAATCTGCAAATTGCTTAAGATTTGAATGCTTAGTGGTGGAAGGCACGCAAAGTATTTGTAAAGGAAGACGAAAAAAACCCATTGAACTGAAAGGCGAAGAGGCCCCAGAAAGCAGAAGCGTCCAACGACAAAAAACAATAGTCGGTAAATTTATGCCCATCAGCCAACTGTGAACAAACGAGAAATCATCTGCGGGGTCGCGTCATAGCCCGTCTTAGATTTATGCTTCCTTTCTTCTCGCTCCTATATAATATTAATATTTCCATAACAATATTATGTATCTGTCATCGGAATTGTCTGGTAGCTCCTTTAAGCGAGCCGATCGCCATTTATTAAAGCTATCCAAACATCCATCGGGTGCTCAGACAAGCGTCACCAAGAAGCGGGACTCGGAAAAATAATACAGAAACATTTTCAGTTATCATATAAGCGAGCATTTGCATGTCCGAGCCTCTGTCAACGATGACAGATTTATTGGAGAAGACCTTCGGTAGGGAACAGTTGCGGTATTAAAAATCCCTTATTGTTGTGGTTGTTGTGCTGCGGATGTCGTCGGTCACAAGACGTTCCTTCTCATTTGAATATCATGTTCGCTTCGTAATGGCAGATGATTTTTCATAAACTCAAAACTCATTTCTCGATGCCAATTGCCCAAGAATGGCACAACATTTTTTCCTGCCACCGTGTACAAGCTATCAAATACTAATGAATTGCACAGAGATGTTGGGAAACTTTGAACAGTGGAAGGAATGATGATGAGGATCGAAGCCACTCTAGGAAAAGCGTAGGAAGAGATCTAGAGAAGGATGCAGTTTTCCTCTGATGTTTCGTAGATTTTTCTCGACTGACTGAGATCATTCAGGAATTTGCTCTTAAGCTTAAAAAATGCCTTCAACCAGACCCAAGAGCAAGATATTACAGATGCACTGAGAATGCGCATCTTTTAAGTTTTAAGCAGTTTAAATAAAAGTCAAAATATAATTAAAGCATCCCCAATTGTGAATTGAAACGCTAAACAATCAGCTGAAACTCTCCATCCGCATAAAATCATCTTCGCTGAAGAATCGAGCTACCGATCGGTTGATACTTTTCGAAACACCACAATATGTAAATCAAGCCTGCCATTCATCATTGGCCACTTTATGGTGCGAGTGCTGGTAAATTGACAGTTTAGTTGGTGTCCTTTGCCATCATAAACAACGCTCTCTAAATGGATTTAATCTTATTAAAATGAAACAAAGAATATATAAATCCAGTCAGGTTTATCAATAAATGCAATAAACTCAAAGGGTATTTGAATATGGGGCCAGTTTCTCAACACTTACGTGTATGGAAAGCAGAGTTAATGAGAGCTGGTTTCGGTCTTGCTCATTTTGCAATCTCGTTAGATTCGGATT